ATAACGCGATTCGTTGGATAATTGCAAATGAAATTTGCAGAGATCTCGGGTAATATCGCTAAATGACTATCCAATTGAATAAATAAGATTTTGGAAGGTTTTTTAGGCATCGGAAATTATTCTGAAAGAAAAGTAATACTCCGAAATAAATGTCTTCAAAATAGAAATATACAGCACTGAATTCATATTCTTCTATTCTTGAGTAAAAATTTAGCAGATTTTGTCAGTCACTTTCAACATCACTAGCCATATAAACTTTTACAGAAGCAATAAAAAGTATTTTATTAAAAAAATTTTAATTTTTAAACCTGAGTGATAAGGAAAGCATCAATATCATCAGAAAATGCCAAAGTCAAAATGTCATCGAAAAAACGTTTTATTACAAATATTCAAGAGTTTTTAAACAGCTTTTCCAAAATATTACATATAGAGTCAATTTTATAACAAATAATCGAATTCCTCATGCTGTATGGCTTAAATTTATGAAAACGTCCTTGTTACACAAAAAGTATCATGAAAAAAGTATTGCTTTAGACTAATCATTCAAAATCGTTTCTGTGCAAAAATAACCCGTCTTCAAAGTTTGCTAGAAATTTTAACTATTCAGTTCAAGTAAATCATTTAACTGAGAAATGGCAAAAACTGTAGCAGCAATTAATTAGTCAACCGACCATGGAAGAAATATGAATAATTTAGTCATTTGCATTGTCATAAATGATATCTATTTTTTCAATACCAGCATTACCATTTGCTCTTTAGTTTTAGAATATTGATATTAATTTATCACATTTATTAGTCAAACAAATGACTAACTTATCACTAGTGCACAGTAATTAAGAGTGTAAAGCAAAAATTTGATATCAGAACAGAATATGACAGTTGCAATTACAAGTGGAAGTAATGAAAATGTTCGAAATACTACTAATCAAAATATTAATGGAAATGATTGTGAGACCTACTGACTTGCTATTGTTACAACTATGACTGTTTGAAATCTGCAATATTTACTGAATGTTACTGAAGCTCAAACAACTAAATCTTTAACAGAAACAGTACATAATGAAAACTTATCTAATCAAAATATGTTATGCTTGATGCTTATTCATTCACACAGTATTCATTTACAAGGTAATCGGGATTCGTAAATATGTATCCATCATATATTTTCAGAAGGCAGTGATTGATGACGACAGCAGTGATGATAGTCTCCAACGTAATCGATAGTTGATGGTGACGACTTTTTCACAGACTCTGACCTTACCAATTTAACAACAAATAGTTTCCAATCCTTGTTTGTTTGTTTCACTGAATAGAAAATAAAAAGAAAATTTGTTACCAAGATCCATAAAAAACTTTTCGAAGTATTTATGAACAAGTTTCTTCAAGAGACAAAAATAAAAAATTAAACTAATTACGAGGTTTTATTAATTAATCATTTGCAGAAACTATAATAATTTGAATTATTGTTTTTGGCACTTCCAAGTATATTTAATGATTGCAAATTCAATAATAGTTAAAAAAGCAAAAATGAAATAGAATTTTGAGCATTCTAATTTCAAATCAACAGATCTAAAAGAAGCAGTAGCAGCGATAATGAAAATTCGGGATTTATCAGCACTCCCTTCTCAATCAACATAATCTAATAATAATCATCAATTGGATCAAAAATTTATGAGAAACTTTTATAACACACCAAATCCAAGAATTGTTCCCATGGAAGTAAAAATCAAGATCATACATAAAATACTGTTCCCTACAATACTTTATAACAAATTTCAACATTGGTTCCTCGGACGAATATTCCTCATGGATAATTGTTACCCAAATATATAATGACACATATCCGCTACTTCATTCAAGTAAACGCTCAAGGCAATGCAAGTTTTTTTAACCACCCTAACTTCTCTCACCAGACTTCAAATTCTGAAATAACCAAAGTATCGACGACTCTCGACTCATACAATATAAAAAAAGTAACTAGGCCCGTACGCTCCATACACCCAAATTTCCTCTGAAATACAATACAAACACAATGCCTCGTGGTGAAAGATGTTGTTCTGTTCCTGAAACAACACCCTACATCAATAATCTAGTTGTATTCCTCACATCACGCAAGTGCCGACTGAAATTTCGTCCCCACAAATCCAGAAGAAAGTCCAACGTTTGAAATGAATGCCGTCAGTTACTTTTCTGAATCTTTAACTGTTATGCCCTTTGTTTACTCCCACTTTTTTCTAATTTTTTGTTGGTAAAAATGCCGCCCATAGAATATCATGACATTTTTTCAGCTCATTCCAGCATATCAATAAAACATTTTATAAGTTCAGTTAGAAATAAAACGAAAAACACCATCTGAATATGAACAAATCTTTTCTGAAATACAATACAACCAACTACAATGTTGCATGGTAAATTAGGATGGAAAGATACAAATAAAAACGAAAACTGAAAAACAATTATGGGAACGCTTAAAGTAAGAACAAATAAATATAAATCCAAATTCTCAAATTAAAATATCAAACAGTGAACATTGTCAATTGAAAAATGCGGAAAAATATCTGTAAAGACATGCTTTTAGGTATCATTACGGCAACCTAATCCTGTATCTCCAAAAACGTGCAACCAAAATACCCATAATAATAAGCACATTTTCTGACAAAGCCCCGCGATTTGACCAACATTTTATCACTCTTAATGTCTTAAATAAGCCCTAAAATATTTTTCAGTAGATGTTACCAACCAAACTTTCAGTCTCTTCAAATCAACCCTAACTGATAACAAATACTACCTCCCCTCACTTGACTAATTAACTGAAAAGGAAACTTTTGCAGTAATATCAAAAGTATGATAATACATGCAAATATCCACTGATCTCATTAAATAGTTTTTCAAAATTAAGATGCATAAACTCAACAAATTTGTAGAGAGAGAGAGAGGCAGGAGAGATAAACGAACAATCAACTAAAATCAATTATTTTATCAAATGGAAATAACAGATTTCACATAAAAGTGATATGAGATGAAGCATTTATAGAATTAAAAAAAAAAAACTATGAGACAATGCTAATAAACTGAATTTGTATAACAATCCTAACAAAACAAGTGTTACTACAATCAAATGTGACAATTTAATAAAATGACTAAAACAGACACTAAGTAAACTGATTAAATGAGTAGCTGAACTGAATACTAAAACGCAGCAACTTAATAAGTTCGGGAAATTGTAAAGGGAAATGGTCTGAAAGGTATACAAATACACAAAATTACCATACGTCACATGTTAGCCAAACTAAGAAAAAAAAATTAAGTATACGAGTGGATAAATTATTAACTAAATAAAACTCATAACTACTGCAGGTCAAAGCCTTATCTAATACTTGAAAATAAAAAACATCACTTCTACCCCAAAATTTCTCTTACCGATTAATTATAGTTCAACATTCCATGATAACATCAAGTCGCAACTCTTATACAACGACAAAAATCATAGTTGCAGAATAAAGTATATACCAATATTGAAGTGCTGAAAATTGTCTGATAATAAAATGCACCATCTGTCCAATCAGTCGCTGATAGTTGGTAAAATTTACAATATTGAAGTACCACAATTCTATCATTCCGAAATCTTAAGAACTGATAGTTTCAAGCGATGCTTACAAATCAGAACGGCCTTTTTCATATTTTCAAACAAGTACAACAAATAAAAAAACACTGATTTTCCCATGATGTAATTACTATCAAAGTGAGAAAAAAAAAACCACACTAACGTGCGATCAGGTACTTATTTTCCAGTAAGAGAGGCAGTCAGAAAATATGAAAAGCATGCGCACTTAATTGATGAAAGTAGATTCGCAATGAAGTACAAACTTGAAGGTTATCAATAAAATAGAGATATACATACATATGATTATCTAATTTAAACATCACAGGTCGGAACTGATAGACGTAAAGTACGTGCTTGACTTATTTATATACATGTAAATAGGGTAACTAATATTTTCAATCCAACTCTCTCTCTATCTCAGATTTCAATTTTAAAAAATGAACAAAAAATGTGCTAGCATTTTTTACTAAATCAGTAGCAGCAATTAGAAGTGAGAGTAGAAGTAGCAAGCGCTATAGTAACTGTAATAATAGGATAACAACTGTTTACTTAAAAGAGCATCTTTGTAGATGTTAGATAACGCACCAGGTAACAATGTCATATTTTTTCAGGCACCAAAAGGTAACAAAGTAGAAAAAACAATTCTAAACTTATGCGCAAGCTAACTCTTTCAAAACTACCCGTGCTCTCCCCATCTTTCGAATCATTATCCAATTACGATAGTGAAAAAACTATAAAATCTGTGGGATAAATAAATTTCTGAAAATCATTATATTTAAATCCGAGATCAACAAAATCTCTTTAAAACCCCGACCCTTACTTTTTTTAAGCTAACTAAACATAAAAATGTACTGAAAAATTAGGAGACAAGGAGAATTATACTCTAACTTAAATTTAATGACATTCAAATCTATGCTTCGTACGATGCTATGAAATAAACACTCTCCAAAATTAAAAGTAGTGAAAAATGGATACTTGAAATAATCATAACTGTAGTAGTTATCTTTAAATAAATTACAAAAAAAAGTTGCAAAAAATTATAGGGATATAATCAATTTATAATAGCAAAGTAGAACAAGAACAACAACAACTTTGGAGCTAAACAAAAAAAGTGAGCCGTCATCAAAAAGGATCACCCGCTATGGCAGCAATGCATGTGAATAAAGTAAAGGAAACAAGGGAGCAACCGGGAAAATCAAACACGCTTAACTAAACACCGATAATAACTTATATGCTCAATTCAGTATACGTTACATGCCCGCTGACAAGTGTTCAACACTTCATGACTAAACTAGAAAAACATTAAAAGAATATTCCTCAAAACATTCTGAATTTGAGCACATCATTATTTTGCAACAAAATAAGTAAAAAAACCAGCAACAGTATTCGCTAAATGTCATCTATACGGTTGCTGATCTTGATTAACAGTCCCTTGTTGCATTTGCTGTACAGTTGGCTGTGCCGTACCAGGCTGCATCAGTGATGACTGGGCGACGTTACCTACAGATGGTGAACGGCCGACTGGAGGTGAACGGACCTGTAATTTGACTTTTAGCTGAAAAATAGTTCACATAGCGCACTTAGATAAAAATCAGTACGGAAAAAATTAGAACACTATAAAATATCCAATAGTGCTTAAGAAATTCCGACCAGTATTATTGGATTTAGAAACTGAGTATTATTGGGTTAAGAAATGAAATGGTTTTAAGCACTCTTTCCTTTTATATTTACAATCATTATGATCTTAGTAAAGAAAAGAAAAAAGCAAATCACCTGGTTAAATTGAGACTGCATTGCAGGACTTACAGGTTGCGGATTTCGCTGGAACTGCTGCTGCCATTGTGGTTGTGGCTGAGGCTGTGCCATTGTAGTACCGCTTAACTGAGTTTGTGAATTTATGGAAGCATATTGACCTCCTGGACCCCTAGGTTGCTGCTGATTACTTTGTGATATTTGTGGCTGTTGTTGTTGGTAAAACTGTTGCTGAGATACTGTACCCTGCTGCCATTGCCCGCTTTGCTGAGTGACCATCTTAAGAAACAGACAAAAGTTAACTAATCCAAATGACTATAATAATGAACCACAGAATACAAATTACATTACCTCTAGCAACCTTTCGATTTAAATTTGTAAATTTACCTGTGGCTGTCTCATCAATCCTTGTTGTTGCTGCTGCATAGCATTGAGTTGCTGCTGATTTATGCCCTGCATAATCTGAAGAATGAAATTATGACAACTGTACTTCTCTGAAAAAAATTACTTCCTATTTTCAAAGAAAATATTATTTGATACATTAGAAACAGCATTAAATGTATTAAAAACTTACATCTCCACTACTTCTATCATTACTGGTCATTTTGAAAAAAGCAGCAAAAAGATGAGGAGTTTTTTTCAAATCATTCAATACTTTATCTTTGTCTTCTGTTCGTTCTGCATTTTTAAACCTCGTTAATATTGCTTGCATTTGTGGATCTTGCTGCAGTGTAGTGCGATCAATAGGTTGTCCTGTATACACTTTAGCTGCAAAGTGAGGAAGAATCACATATATTGCATACTTTGAATAATTTGATCTTTCATCTCATTCCACTGACAAGAACATGCAATTTATGTCTAGATAATATTCGCTTTTGGAGAATTTACCACGTAAATTTTGCATTCCTTGCTGCATGATTGCTGGTGCTTGAGAATTTTGTGACATATTTTGCCCAATCATTATTGACTGTCCACTACTGCTACCATAACTAGAAGATGGTCCTGCTGTACCCGACATATAAGCATTTTGCTGAGTACCACCACGTCCATATGGAGGAGGATTTAACGGTTGCTGGGCATGCTGCATTTGTCCAGCCATTCCCGACCTCTGCATACTACTTATCTGTGGTGTCTGGAACAATTTATATTAATAAACAGCAAAAAAATTTGCTTTCAACATTATCGTAATTAATAATTCTGTTGTTCAATCAATCACCGTTTGTTCCAAAGCAGCTTTTTGCATCTGAGAAGTCATTATAAGTTTTATTCATAAGTATGGTTACCAACAATTATTCTATAAAACATCATTCAGCATATTTGTCACTTATGAAAAATACTACGCGTCAAAAAGAAATGAAAACATGCACAATCTTTAAACGAACCATATTCATACGCACAGTTTGCTGATGTGTTGCTTGTTGCTGCTGAACTTGTGAGATTGAATGACTCTGCTGCAGTGTTGTTGGCACTCCTATCATATGCATTTGAGAGTTTCCCCTTAGACCTCCACCTAGATAACTGATAGTGATAAGTTAATTACTTATATATATAAATAAAGAAAATTAATGCAGTAGTGTAAAGCGATGATAATAACAGATTATATGTGACTGCAGTATGAATAAATAATTTCTTAATATAACTGATAGTTATAATTAATTTAGCAGCAATTTACTAACATTCACAATTTCGTTTATAATCACATCCATAATCTTATGAATTCAATGCCTTTAAATGACAACTGATTTCAGCTTTTATGGATTATGACAGCTGTCTTATAAGAAAAAATTCCAAAAAAAAAGCTATCAACTATCTTTTTATGCTTGAGATATAAAGAAATGAAGCGTGCAGTTACTTGATGTCACTAAAAATAATGCAAATTACTCTTACCAGTACTGAAAAATGATTGGTTCTACTTCTATAACCAATAATATTTTCAAAACAACAAGCATAAATACCCTAATTCAATCATACACTTTAATTTAATATTAGTTAACCTTTGCCATGATACTGATGTTGTTGTAGCTGTATCTGCGTCATTTGCTGTTGTCCAGGTGAAATAATATTCTGTGGTTGCCCTACTTGCATATGCTGCAGATGCGTCATACCTGTACTTTGATAACCTTGTAATGTCCCAGGACCATGATGAGTTGTTACTGGTTGTGACAAACCTGAAGGACCAGATGACTGAGAAGTAATTTATGCAATTATTCTCAAAAATTATTTTATTCATATTCAACTCTAGAACGATTTCTATTACATAGCCAAATGACGACTTATAACCCACGAATTTAAAAGGCAGGACGATGACGGAAAAATGGAAAACACGCTACCACCTGTATTTACAGCAATAAGTAACTCCAAATAGAGTCTTTGTATAATTAAGAATTTTTCATCTTATATGATTTAACAGGCGTATATCTATTCAATTTCAGAATCAATCTCCAAACCGATTACTAACCAGCAGTTTGTGATGGACCTGGTGTACTAGTACCACCATATCCATTAGAAAGCATATCCATGCGCCGACGCATCATCATATCAGCACGGCGATTCTGAGATCTACGTTGCTCTTGTAATTTCTGCCGAATATTCAAACAAAATGGTACCTGAAAAAAAAGCTTGATATATTTAAGAAATATTGAACGTCACGTACTAACTAAAATCGTTTCTGTCAGGTAAATTCTTAAAAACATTAAGCTACACCAAGTGAAAAAATAGACTGGATACCTGGCAAGAGGTTCCGTTACAATGTTTTGCATGATAGCAACATAGTGCAATAAGCTGTTTGCAAATAGCACAATTTGCAGTTTGTCGCTTCTTGCAACCTTTGGTATGCTGCACAATACGCTTCATCTTATGGCACGTTGAACGACGACAATTGGCATCGCGGCATTGACAAGCATGTACTAACGATTGGATACAACGCTGTAAAATAAATTTACGAAGATGGTGGAAAGAAAAATTGAAAAATCCCATTCACAAATTCTGAAAAACTCTATATACAATAATGGAATAATTACCTGAATACTTTCGGTTCGTGAATTACTTGAATCATGTTTATCTTCCTCTTCGACTAATGTACTAACCTTCTCCAGCTTATGCGGATGTGACATTGTTTCATAGCATTTGTTGCAGAGATCGAAATCCTATAAAACATTGTAATCAGCACAGCAAGCAGAAAGTGTAGTAAGACAAAAGAGTGTTTCAGCACAATAAGACAAAATAGGATTCCGCTTCGAAACATCTAAAACCTTACTTCACATGTAGTACAATGCCAAATAGCTGTTTTTTGACAACTATTGCAAGTGTATGAAAGTCCCTCGCCCTTCTCCTGATTGTGCAAAGCATGGCAAAAGCAAATGGTAGAATACTTAGCACGACGTAACGACGAAAACTCCCAATGCTCATCACGAGCCCTAGTTAAAAATGTATCACGTCCATCCATAAGATCACTTGCTATCAATGGATCAGGGTCCTGACAATACAAAAAAATTTGAGAGTTGCTGATAATTATTAAATATTATATTGATAAAGCAATGTCAACAAATCATTTTTTCGAGTTTTAAGATATTTTATTTCATATCAAGATTACTTCTGAAAGGACAGCCAACAAAATGGAAGTCAATAAGGAATTCAGATGTAAATTCAAAAAAATAACCTTTATTTCATTGTTTTGTGCTGACAGTTCCGACTGTGGACTCATGAGTCGAATAGTGAAAAACACTTCTTTATGTTTTTCAAAGTTTATGTATAATTTATCAGTGACTTCATTGCCGGTTTGTGAACACACTTTTTTCTTGTTTTTTGCATTACCCTTTTTTAAATTATTTTTCTTTTTGCTGAAATAAGATCCCTATTAAAAAGTCTTCCAGCTTATTTTTCACATAGTTCATTCCATACTCAGAAACATAGACAAGAATTTCATCGACAACAGCACTCATATAAACAAAAAGTCAAAATGATCACCTGTTTTTCTTACTTTTTCCATTATCACCATCATTGAACAAATCATCACCATCTTCATCCTCTGCATGCTGCTGCTCTTGACGAGCAGCCTCTTCTTGACGCTTACGCTCTTGCTCTTCATTCTGCGCTTCACGAATACAATCTTCAATTACATTTGGCCAAAAATCACCTTCAAAATAAGATAATTCCATCGGCGTCACTAAATTCTCATCTCGCGCCTGAAAACAGAAAAAAAAAACTAAAGTTAAAAAGTTATAAACACTGGTGATTTTGAAAATCCAAAATTTAAATTTGTGCAATAAATATCTAAACTTGCTGACTCTGCCATGATAACAAAAAACAGAGCAAAAATAGTGATATGACCATATTCATTGCATAGACCGAAGTAATCAGCAATTAAAACAGGTCACCCATAAGACTTGGAGATGGAAACAATCTAATTTAATATTTAATTTCATAAATCTTACTTGTTTATATATATCTTTATAGTCAAAAACAGTATGTTCTCCAACACCTTTGTCCAACATTTTTTTGTACCAATCTTGAAGACGCTTAGGTTTTGGTATCCGTTGTTCGGGTGGATGACAATGAAAAATGTAGTCATCTCCCTCGGATGGTGGACACGCCCAAATATGGGCCATTGTATAACCTAACATCATCGCATAGTTTAGATAACCTAATAAAATCTCATGATACACTTCTGTACGCAACTGGCGCGGTTGGAAAAAATGCACGGAATCCAAATAAGCAATATACACTCTTCTGAAACAAGAGGAAATATTGCATAACTGAAAAAATTGAAACAAGCAAAATAAACGAAGAAAATTTAAGAAAAACTCTACTTTTTTTTTTGAAGAATAATACAGAACCTTCTTCAGAAAAAGAAAAACAATCTAATAAATACCTCCTATTTGGTGGTGGACAATTACTTCCATACTCTTGTACGTGCAAACCAAAAAAACATACTTCTACGCCATCAATAACTTCGAAAGCAAAGATTGCTTTCGTTCTGTAAGGAAATTTTTCCGGGAAACCAAGAGGACCATATCTAAATATTTAAAAAATAATATGTAACAAGTACAATGATTAGATTGATTATTTTCGATTGGTTTCGAAAATTTAATAAATAGTACTAAAATTGACAGGTACATGACCATACAATAGTTACAACGAATTATGTGTTATAATAATAAAGCTATTAACAATTTCTTTACTTTTGTTTCATTAGAGGTTTCACTTCAACTTCCTTATCGGCTGCGCAAAGTACGCGGATGATCACTTCGTAATCTTTACCAGCTGGATTACTTTTCATAAATTTATTTACACGTTCTTCAATAAATCTTGACAACTGACAATGTGGTAATTTCTTAGCTGTGAAACGGTTTTCTGCTAGTGCCAAATTCTGCTCATGACGACAAGTTGCACAAATGAAACCATCTGGAAAAACCTGAAAAGTAGAAAATGAAAGTTAACTTAAATTTGATAGTCATTTCACTACTATAAATATATAACAGCAGGTTTTATTATTAGCTGATCATTTCTAAGAGCTTATTACTGATCCTTTATTTCTTAAATAGCTACAGTTTCAAAAAATTCAAAAACTTGCATGAAAGTAAGTGTTTCTACGACTTATAATAACATTTGTTCGCAAATTTCCAAAAAAATGAATGAAAAATTTTTTTCTTATTTCACTAACTTTTTTGCTGAAAAGAGCGCAAACTCTGTGCCATTTTCGGAAACATTTTATACATTTCTCAAAAGGTTCAAAGTCGATTTGATCATTCTTCATTTGTACAAATTTTGACTTTGGTACCATGCTGAAAACCAGATTTATGTTATGGTTCAACTTTCCAAAGATCTGCAATCAACTTCATTGATGCAAGCTGCAATCAACTTCATTGATGCAAGATCGATCAATCTTACTCCTTTATATTAAATGGGCAGTAAAGAAACACAGAATTTTAAAATTTTATATTATCAAAAAATGAAAGTTACTTCGATGTATCATTTGGGTTCTCACTCAAACTTATTCCACTTTCCGGTAAAGCTTCAAAACATTTCGTACAATAAGTATAACGCTCCGAAACTGTTACAAGATACTGAGTGGATCTGAAGTAAGCAGGAGAAAAATATACACAAGAGCAATTTTTAACAATCAAATTGACTTTCATGTATTTTCTTTTCCACATATTTGCAGTTTAGTTTAGTCATTTTCAAAATTATTTCATACCGAGATTCCAATTCATTTAATCAAAAACATAAATAAACGATGTTAGAGCGATTTTCATTATATTCAAAATAAAATGAAAAGTCTTTACTAAAAATTCTTGATATATTATTTACGTTGTTTCATAAACGTGATATGTTTGATCTCGAGCAATCGTACACATCGACTGCCCATAACAAAACAGTGCTAGAGGCGTAAATGACAATTTCTGCCCGCAACAATAACCCATCTTTTGCATAACTGGATTAATTTCTTCCACAAACACTTCACTTAGCTATAAAATGGCCTTTCGATTATATTTTTCAAAACAGATATTATGGCTTTCAGTTTAATTTTCTTCCATTCTTCTAATTCAGACTTTTTGTTTCATTTTTCTGCAAACCTTATTGCAATATTTGTACACTTTCGAGTTCTTCCGATTATAAAGCCAAGCATTATCAAACATCAACCACATGTCATCATTGAAACCCCATGGATTCTTATACTCTCCGGTATCCAGTTTTCGACTAACTGTTGACAAATCCATCGGTTTCTTCACAATATCGAAATAATCCTGTAATTCATATGCGTCTCAACTACAAATTCTGAAAACAAGTATTAGAACTTAAAAGGCTCATAAAAGACCAGTCATTACCGGAATGCCAAGAATTTCAGGGTCTACTGGAATTCTGAACGGTATTGATTCTTCCATACTGAGAAGCTTATCTAATACCGGTTTCAAATTGTTTCGTAATTCGTTTGCATCGAATACCTTAAACTGCCCGAGTTATATACTTCACAGTTTTCAAGTAAATATCAGTATTCGCTCAAACTCAGTAATTTTATATATATCACAAACGATAACCTTGTCAGGTAACTCCTTTCTTTCTTCCATTTTTACATCCCCTTTATTATCAGCTTTACCAGTTTTGACCTCAGTTTTCGTAACACCTATCGATGACCTACTTTTTTCGCCATTTACTGTATTCGATGTTCCAGGTTTCACTAGAATTTAATGAACTTAATGATGTAAAAATTTAATCAGCATTAGAAACTTGACCCATGATGAAAAAAAATCCATTTATCTTCCGGGTTTTTTTGGTCCACTCTTACTATTTTTTACACAGCTTTCCTTAAAACCTACAGGAACATCCTAGGACATCTGTAGTACTTGTTAGTTCAGTACCGATAGTCACATCATCAGGCACTTCCATTTTTATCCCTGAACTCACAGCCTGACCATTCGTCATAGCATTTCCACCCGTACCTCAAAAATTTCATCCAATTACAAAAATGATAGCTGACAAAAACGATATCTAATTAAGAGTAAGAAATATCCTCTTACATGCTGAGGTAGACAATCCATTCCTTTGCTGTGGATTGATACCAATATTTGGTTGGAATGATGGAGTTGTTCGATTCGGTGGTCCAGGCATGTCAAAATCCACTGAGAAAAAAGAACAATAATGTAGTGAAACATGATAATGATGACAATATGTACTTTATCCAGCTCAATATTCAAAAACAAAAATATGATGAGACCGAGAGAGAAGTAAAATTTCACTCTAATGATCAAGATTAAGTGAAATAAGTTTCTGAGCCAAATGTCAATCTTGTACACTACATAATTAAACGACGAACCACCTGGCTGAGGTGGCTGTACGCCAACTACAGCACCCACTTGTCCTTGTTCATGTAACCTTTTGATCTTCTTTTCTTGCAGTTCTTTTTGAATTTTATAAATTTTTTCTGCCAGCAGATGATAATATTCTCCCTGAAAAAGTATCTTATCTACTCTTATAATTTCGCTTCGCAATTTCATCAGATATGTTTCAGCAGCAAATTAGTATGTATTTTTGCATTAAAGATATCTTAAAGTATTTTTAGAAAATCCATATTTTTTAGTCAATTGCTAATAGCTTTATGAATGAATTTAGCTTACGCGGTGATTGGCTAATTCAAACATTTCTCGTTCAACTTTTCGAGCATAGTTGACGAGATCTTTGATACGCTGATCGTGAATTGATGCAGGATCAGGAGATGGAAATATAGTTTCCACAAGTTTTTGGACCAAATGATTTCGAAGATCTTCGGTTACCTCTTTTTGCCATAATTTCTTGACTGCTGGTGCATCTGGAGGTGGCAAACCAATGATGTCTTTCGAAGCAAGTGAAATACTGGAAGTTTTCCCTACAGACGGCACCAATTTATTTGGGGGGTTTGGTGACCGAAACGGATCACTGAAATATTTAACGAATAGAGCTGCTTTGAACTTATGAGCACTGCTTGGAATGGAATTAATTAGCTTGAAAATAATCAACCATAACATTTACTTCGTTGGGTTGAAGTCTATAAGAAAAGCATTGCTTGCTGTTGGGACTGGAGTATCGAACGTTGGAACGTTTTGTGTGTTTGTATTTGGCGGCAAAGAAGTGACAGGACCGGACTGTGAAGTGATTCGATTGGGTATACTAACACCCTCTACGTCTGTGGTACTATTTGGTCCACATTGCATTGATTGAGTTGATCCTATACTAGCAGAGCCAAAAGATTCAGCACCTGAATTAGAGTTCAAATAATTTCCTTCTTGTTGAAATGTTTTTTTTTTTCGTGTGCTTAATGCGGTTCAAAAGTTTTAAGTTCATAAAGTTACCGGAAATAGTTCGCCGATCCGTTGTTTGCACAACATTTTGTCTACTTTTTAATGGTGTACATACAGGGCAGTCATCACGCACACAGTTCTTCCAGTGTGAGATAATCTGTCGTGATGATGGACAATGGGGATCTGAAAATTTATTAAAATACGCTGCATCTGAATGCATGCTAATTTACTTAGGTGATGACCTATGTTTATATCTCAAATTCGTGAAACACTATCAAAATTGAGAATGAAAGTATTAAATCATAACTGAAATTGCATTTGTGAGTCATGTTATGATACAAAAGTATGATTTCTAGTAACTTGCTGAATATCAGTTCATGAATAAGTGTTTTAATCAATAAGCTTACGTTTCCTCAAATAATAATACTTCAGTAATGATAGCTGTAACAGAAAATACTAATATAAACAGATTACTTTCTTATACCGATGCAGACTCAGTGGAATCAAATCAAAAGAGAAAAAGCATACAATTACAAGCACTTCCACTATTACATGACGTCATATGCTGTAATACGCCCTTCATCGTTGGGCAATGCTGTAAAGTGCAAGTGTATCGTCCATTCGCACCCTCCTAAAACAGGCACCAATCATCATCCAAAAATTAGTATTTCAAATTACTGAGAATAAGCTACAACAAAGATAAACAGAAATTCAACTCTTTCCGCAAGTTTCATCCCACACTCATCATTTCTGAGCAAAAAAAAAAAATGCTTACGTAGTATTCAATAACGAAATCAAAATCTAAACCACATATAATTAATGTTTAACAATGATATTCATTAATCAGATCAAAGGGTCAAATTGTTAGGATAAATAGGTACCGCAGATCTTTCCCTTTGCTGACATTTGTGTGCATGCAAAAGCAACACCAATTGTAACTGAATTAGTTTCCTTCGACCAGGGTCTTGATTATTTCCATGTGAGGCACTAGTTGGAAGTGCATTGCTTATTGATGACCCTTCTCGAAGTGTACTGCTGTTCATACCAGTAAACTTAAAAATATTATTTCTCGATGTTGAATTAGTGCATATTTAGCACAACAGTAACCTAGCTTATAATGATTTACATAAACTTCCTAATTCAAAGCTGATAGGCGAACAAAGAAACACCTGTTGCATTTGACTAGCTGCTGAAGTGCTTATTGATGAAATTTGAGTTGGAGGTAGACTTGACGACAATCCAGATTTTAGGCCCGAGATGACACCCGAAGCTGTCGCTACTGTAGCTGCGGATGTGCTCATTTGAGATGACATTACATTTCCATGAGTTAGTGACGATGAAGGAGTTGGTGGTGGTTGTTGGCTCGGTTGTTGTTGCGGTGACATTGTCGAATGCTCCATTATGTGTGACATTATCTACAAATGATGAAGTTGATAGAAAATTCCAAAAATTTCATCAAATATAAATACCAACTTTTACAATGTAAATCTATAAAATTTTGAATCTATGGTTTATTTCATCAACATATACTCACCGCACTATTTTGCATTGTTGGTGGAGCATTTGGTGCATTTGCATAGGGCAGTGGTTGATTTCTGGCTACCAAATGACCTTGTGTCAGCTGAGCATAATTTTGTGATGCCTTAAATCAGAATAAAACTAACTTATTTGGATCAGAATGAAATTTGGATAAAATAAATTAAAGGAAATACTAAATGCTTTAAGAGAGATAAATTACACATACTCCAGTTTGTGTCGGTGGAATGCCATAAGGATCTGAAGTACGCTGCGGAGGCAAAGTGTAGCTATTTTGATCGTATGGTGGACCTTGCTGAACCATTACTGCTCGCATCATTTGTCCATTTCCTTGCGGCATTGTCATTATGCCTATAAAAAAAGGGATTCAGTGAATTTTATAACAACCTTAGTACATTTTCTTCACTAAAAATGAGTGCAACAATTTTAAATTTTTTGCTTATATTATTTAAAAAAAATTGAGGCAACCTTGATGAGTAGCTCTCATTCGTGGAGCCGAGGCCCCATTAAGCATAATAGGAGTACCATTTCGAGTCATACCTACGGATTGTGGTGCACCACCACGTGTAGTCCCTGCATAAACCGCTCGAGAACCTGTATTAGCATATACTGGTCGAGAACCTGCAAGTATATGGTCAGAATGATCATAGTTAATTTATTAATTATTTTGTGGTAGACTCCACAACCTCTTCCAGAAATGATTGCTAGATAAGATTAAAACCTGGTGGTTGGTAGGCGTATGACAGAGACTGAGGAGGTTGCTGATTATGTGGAGGCATAATTTGAGAAGAAACATAACTTCCTTGTTGACCTGGATGACCAAGCTGAGTTCCAGCATTCTGTGAGAAAATGAAAATATCGATATAAAAAATTTTTGCTTACTTATTCAAATAAAAACTTTGCGTTTAAACAACACTAAGCTTGGCAATGCACCCTACCAAGTTTTATAAATTAAACTTTATTTATGAATAATACATGACTATTTCATTTACGATCAGTTTATTTTTTCTACTAAACTAAATCATAAATTACAGAAAATTCCACAACTTAATTTTTATTTATTAACATGACGTCATAAATTAGCCTACATTCTGAAGTTTTTATTTTAAATAAATTTCTGTCATCGTCATACCTGCTGCATGGTCATATCACTATGACCTGCAGGCCCATATAACTGCGGACCAGATGCCCGTAATCCTCGTGGCGAAACAGAGAGCGCTACATTTGAAGGACAATTTCCTGAGGTGATCATCGTAGCACTTGTTACTGGACTCCTAAAACATGTATTTTTCACCACTCAATAAGCAATAAATCATTTTAGAATCAATCTCTTACAAATTCGCGCCATTAAATCGCACCTAATAAATATGAAATACTTCAAAGAGTGAATTGTATGCCTGTTGTAGTTAATCACCTTGTTTGATACTGAGAGGTGAATGGTGGACGTGGGCTATTCAAAGTTTGGTTGTTCTGATTTGATGGATTCAATAATAATTCTTGCAAAACACTAGGCTGGGAAGGCGTGTTCTGCTGTGAAGTAGTATGTGCTGGTGCTTGAGCTGTGGCTTGAGACTGTACCACTGTTCCTGGTCCCATATAATTTCCATGACTAACTGAGGAAGGATGATTAGTGTTACTAGTGGAACCTACTGATGAAGGTCCAGGCCCATTCATCTGAAACATTTACTTTGCCCCAATAATGAAAGAATTTTTATGATACAAGAAGTTGACGAATAAACAATAACAATGAAGTTCCTTTATTGTAAAACAAAGGAACTTTGCTGTTACTGTTTTTAGTGAGTTTCTAACTTTGCTGATCACATTTTCTATTGCTAATTATATTGACAGACTTATAGTACAACAGCGATTAAAAAATTGCAAGACAATAAATTTTTCATGCACAAAAAACTGAATATTCCTAGTACAAATCACAATCATTATTTGAAATAGGATATGTAAAATTTACAGTTACTTCAAAATGATATCAGGGATTACAAAATTTATTAGCAGTTTGTACTTTAATTTTTAAATTACACAGTTATTTATGATCCTTTACAAGCTCTCAATAATAGCTTAAGCAAGAAATGATAAAACACAATGCTAGCTCTCCAGTATCATTGAAGTTTTCATAAAAGCATATGAATTAACTTGCACTCAGCAATCATGTAAGTAAGAAAGCAGTGAGAGGAAAAGACATGAACTAATGAAAACACATACCGACATACTATGAATACTTGAAGGCGGTTGTGACACTGTCTCCAGAATCGACGGTAATGGTTCCAATTTCTCCAATTCACTCAATGGATCATCATCGAAATCTGGAGAACAAACTTAGGAATCAGAACTTAATCAGCTGATAAGTTGTTAGTTCACGATATTTTCTAATAAATTAAATTCGCTGTATGAATCTCATGGAGTTAAAAAACATTTGCATGAATTTTACTGAGTAGAAACCAGAGTCAAATGTGTCTAGTACACAAATAATTATGAGGTTATAATAGTGACTGAATGCAGAAAAAGGCGAAAAAACCATTACACAATTTAGTGCAATGAAAAGTTATCAAAATACTTCGCTAAGCAGATAATCTTGACTAGTGGAATTAAAAACCAGTATTACTTAAATTTCGTACTTTTTTAATTTACAAGGTTACCGAGATTTCAAATATTACTTTCGAAAGAATTACTTATGAAAACAAATCTTAGACAAGTTAAAATTGTTTCTTGACATGAAAGAAGAAACAAATCTGGGCTACGTTTGCTCCCTGTGACTACTATAAATGATAGAGTTGGAATATGAATTTATCACAGATAAATGCTGACCCTTAAATCAAAACAGTGGCAGATTTTTTATAAATGAATGATATTTTCCCGAGAAATGAAAAGTTAATTGATCGCTACCTGATGGCGATGATAACTTGGGTTTCTTTGTTGATGGTTCATCCAGAACATCAGTCATTTTTTCGAGCTTTGGATGACTGAATACACAGTTTTAAATAAATATGTATCAATTTTATCTCAAACTGCAAGATGGTAATATTTTCATCTGAGGCAGAGCCTCAACAGGCCAATCAAGTTATACAGTTCTCGTCAAGACAGCAACAAATTTTTCTTCGAAATATTAGTCGGCAAGAAAAACTACGAAATATCAATCAGACAGTAATAGCTATTAGCTACAGTGAAATAATAATGAGTAACGACGTTCTCTACACTCTTCAATGCTGCAATGTTTCAATCGAATCTTCATGCAAATTCGAGAAACAAGAATCTATCTATCCAGAAATCAGACTCGTTCAGCCAAATCGACCAAACAGCCACTTTTTGCTGTTAACGATTGGTGTTTCACTAACAAAGAATCTGGAATTGGAAAAAAACAGTGATTTTAGCTTATTACATTTCTACAAATAACAAAGATGAAAGCATCACCAAATTCATCTACACAGCAAAAATACCACCAAATTCATCTACACACAGCAGAAACATTGCCAAATTCGTTTCATACCTTGATTCTAGCTCTTATCAATCACCTTATGACTTGCTTTGAATATTCAGACCACTTTCTTTTCATAAGTAATCAATAATGTAGCTTGAAATTAGTAAGCAGGTCGAAATATTGGGATTTTAACCATATTATTATTGAAGTGTACTATCAAAGATTGCTGATATGACCGTCATGTAAAAAATATGGGATTGAAATCTCAGACAGAAAAATTATTACTAAAACCAAATAGTTATTACTCAATTCTCTGTTCTATTCATAAATTATAAAAGCAATGTACCTTATCTATGCAGGATAAAGAGAACAATACGAATGAGGTAACTTTAGGTAACTAAATAATTAGAAATAATCACAAATAATGGCATTTTTTGCAGTATGAAAATGTAACATGTATATTCACAACATATCTTTCTCACACCTGATACCAGACTATATTGATCAAATCCCTAGTATTGACCACTTTGTTGCAGCAAGTCGATAAATGACCAACAAATTATATACATATATATACCTCATGAAAGAGTTTCAACAGTCCTAGCGACTTCAAACAATTATTTTTACTAAGCAAATTAATGGAAAAAAACCGTTTCTTTGTTATCCATTACGTTGAGTCACACAAACTCAGTAATGCTTTAGGCTGTTTTGTTATCAAATTTATGTCTCATCCTACGAATTGCACGACACGAGACCTTCTAGTAACGGAATCTCTTTCCTAATGACTGTGAGATCACGTCACAACACACAATACAAAAGCATTCTGTGTCATGCAAACCACAATACCTAAAAGCGGAAAAACATGTCTTGCTTGAGGTGATCACATAACCCTTCAAAGGTTACGCTGCGATTTCCACATCAGTTACCATCATTAATTACAACGCATGTGTTCCGCACTTACGTGCCCTTTCCAATTCGTCATGAAGTCCTACGACTATTTGGTATATTTTATTGATCGATTGATTCCGACGGAAGTAAGTCCGAAAATTTATAACAAGCGAAAGAACAAACAAAGGAAAAGTGCTCCTTTCATAATCGGTTTAAATAACTCAAAAAACACCAATAATCAAGCGTTCGAACTCAACGTATTTGCGCGCATGAACGCGTGCGTGTGTGCGCGAGCGTACATGCATGTAAGCACGCACGCACTGCGTGTATGCATGCAAGCACGCAACCAGACAGGCAGGCACGCAAGCACACATGCACATACATACATAGACATCACATTCATTGGCTGCACCCCAACAATTATGTCGGCAGCAATCAGAGAAAAATATATAAGGATAAAAATAGACACATGGAAAACTGAATAGAGTGATAAGGAAAACAACGAAAAAGAGAAAAAAGGAGAGGGCAGACAAGTAAGAAAAAATTGTGGCAGATCAAAATGACGAATTTCAAAATTGTTCTTTCTTGAGAGAGTAGTAGAGAAAAAGACGAGAGAGAAACCCAAGTAGAAAAATGGGAAAGAGTAAGGAAAAGCAACAGATAATGAATGCAGCAAATGCTAAAGGTAGAGAGGTAGGAAAAAAGTACACAGAAAAGCAACGAGTGCATTGAGGGGAGGCAGAAAAGAAGAAGGGAGAGATGACGCAGTGAAAAGAGTGAGAGGGAAGTACAAGGAAGAGATTTCAGTTTTGAAACTTTCGATTGAATTGTGACGGTTTTTTGGTTAAGAGACAAGAAAAAGATGCAAAGAAAAAGGGTCCGCAAACAAGCAGACTGATCTAAAGAGGCAACGATGCAGCAGAATGTGTAGGGAGTGACCTATGCGTGTGTTGCAGAGATGTGAAAGCAGAGAAGAGGGAGGACAGTGTGTGAGGAGACAGAGAGGAAGAGGTGATGGCGGCACTTTCCCAGAGATGCTTGCGAACGAACGCATTCCATTCCATTGTTAACAAGCAGACAGACGTGCACGCCGGGAACGCTGGCAGAGAGCGAGAGGAAGAGAGTGAAAGAGACCCTTGCTATATGGCCGACCATCAACAAGTTTGTGATAAGCAGTGAGAGCGTCTCAACGCGAATGAATTTACCGATACTTTGTGTCTGGTGCAACTCCATAGCACACTTGTTGGTGCTGATTTGGATAGGGTGGGGAGGACGTGGTGCGCTCTGACGTGTGGTGGGTGAGCTCTGGTCTAGAGTGGAAGTGGAGGGTAGTGGGAGATGGTGAGTTAGAGCCAGAGTTAGGGCTAGGAAGGAAGTGTTCGAACAATTGGGTTGCGTCGCAAGCTGCAAGTAAAGTTGCTGGTCATTTCGAGAAAGCAGTAAAATGTAATAGTGTGTTTGACTTTGTTTACTAATCATCGTGGGAATGCGTAAATAAGATCGATCTCTTCTTTTTTCTTCAGAGATTATCTTGCGTTACTTCTTTTTTAATAGACATTTTACTACTTTTCCTTCCAACAATTTGTTTTTAATTTTCAGTGATGTAATTCATTTACATACTCTGAGCATAAATTCCTCTGCAAAAGCTGTGACAGAAATAATTACGAGACATGGTGTGTTGCATTCATAATGCATACTTGTCTTCCTCCAAATTTGCGTCTTAGTTTTCGTTGTAGAGTTGCTAAAGTGTACCTATGATTCAGTCGTGTAGTCATTGCTAACATTATCTCTCTGAGTTGTATTTCGATTATAATTTGAATTATTAAGTAAACAAGTATCCAATTATTTTTTCGCTGTTTCAATCATATGGGAAGTGTGCTTAGTTGACTGTCCTATGACACCTGTGCTTATTTTAATTTTAATGGATCTTAATTGTCAGGACTTTTCGTTCATATAAGTGACGATACAGTCTTAAAGTGAAACAGATGAATTTGGTAGAATTGCAGTTGTGCACTTTTTGATGCAAATATTGTTGGTACGAAACATTTGTTGCAATTGTGATAAATTTGCTAATTACACAGTTTTGGTGTTTAGATTTAAATATAGTCACTGAAAATCAACTGAAAAATAGTTTAAGATAACTCTTACATGGTTTTAAAAGATTGAACAGGTAAAACTTGACTTTTTAATGATAACTACTGAACACATAAATAACATTTATTAAAAACCTACCAAAAGCCAATGAATCATTTCTTTTTTATGACATTTTAAAAACGTCGATGAGAAATGTTTTTCCGTAAACACTTATATGAATGGTAAAAAGCTATTTTAGTGATATTTTTGTCATAAAAAAGTCTATTTGCACTTATATGGGATATAAATTTCAAATTTTAGTTCACACAACCCAAGTACTACGACTCTCTTATTTTTAGTCGGAGAATAAATTTCACTTTAATATTTCTTAATTAACGGCGATTTAACGTTAATTTTACTTGCAGTTGCTTTTTACTTAAAAATGGGAATTCTCGTTTCTTATAATGTTTATGAGCACTTGCAAGAATTTCTCAGTAAATTAAAAGCTAATTTCGTCAGACATTTGCTGTTCATCGACTTTATTTCGACTAAATAGTAGTTTATTGTTAGTTTTAAATGTCTTAAAAGCACAAGTATTAATTAAATATTTTGCATAAAATAGCTAATGCGATATAAATCAGCTGATACGTCTGGAATGGAAAACTATATCACGAAAAATATTTTTATAAAATGACGAAAAGAGTGGACCCGTATTTCGTTATCGAAAATCAAAAGTATAAAATGAATAAATCCGACAATAAGTTTAATCAACATGCGGAACGACATAATTTTGCATATTTTGTTTTTTTGTGCGTATTTGATGCATAATAACAATAACTGATATGTCAGAATTCCATATATTAATATTGAAACAGTATATAATGTACATCGTCGTATTAGTATGATGAGTGCATTTTTGAGAATTATTAGTGTTTTATATTGTTCGATCTATTTAGAACTCGAAGTAGCACAGAGACCTTTATAGCAAATTGGTGCGTCTGATGGACAGTCGCTGCATTTTGACTTATCACCAGCCCAAGTAAATGCTGGTGCCTGAAAGTTTTCAGAATTTGTTTCTTTCTTGAAATCTGCAAAAAAAGTTTGATACGTACCGCAAATAGGCCTTTACTAGTAACATAAACCGTATTTCCTTGAGGATTGTAATGGCATACAAAAATATATCGATGACCACGATTTAACACACCCCAGATATCTCGACACTGCGCAAAACCGCAACCGATCAAATTGGTTTGCGACCAGACGACCTTGAAATTGGTGAGAAAAATTATCAGTGCGATAAAGGAGCAAATGAACATTTAGAAAATGAGTCTAACAGACGGAAATAATTATTATCCCATAGCTGTGATCCGAAGTTGCACGATCATGACCAAAATTATTGCTAATCATTATGCGAACTTCTTAATAAAGTTAAATCTATACAATCAATGGCATAAACAGATTAAAATTTTTAAATTATTTCTAGCACATATCAAACTTAAATCGCTGTTGAATTAGGAATTAAATGCATGTATTTTACATATCTACCATTTATTCAGTGTTTTACGCAGGTAAAAGTTATATGCTTTTACATTAAGACTATTTATTGAATTTTCACAATTGTAAAAATAAATTAACTGTGAGCAGTAATATTTAAAGGATTGATAATGAATTACCTGTACATAATGTCCACAGCAATGCTTATAAGCATGTTTGCAATTACATTCAGAATCGTATACTTCGTCAAACCATCGTGTTACAGCACCTGTATAATTACTGTATGGTGCAGCCCAAATATTTTCACCAACATTTACTCTGTCATGACTATGTCTGAAAGTTAAATGAAATGTTAGAATTGCGATTTGCCAAGTTTCATTATTTCATCATAATTATCATTTTCAGTGTCTTATGAGAGCTAATAATTGACAACAAATTATCACTACTTTTTAACAATTCTACTTTTCATATATTGTGTTGTTCATCATTATTCTAAATTGCTTAAGCTTTTTCAGTCTAATCAATTGGAACTTGAACTTTCATTGAAGTTTGAAACAAATGTTGACAAAACTTCATAAAATGTTAATATATTGTTTAACATTTCCCTTAAATTTTAAATGGACTTTTTATGTTAATTATTTGTCGCAATTTGTGCTGAAACAAGTAATTTGATGGAATATTCCTGTTTCTCTGCGTTCACAAAGCTCAAGTGTAGCAAATTCAAACTTAGTTTAAAAAAATAGTTTAACATCAAGTAATTATCTTCTATAATCATCAGAGCACTGAAGGAAGATTTTTGTACTGAATATTTTGCTACCTGAATGCAGTTCATAATAAATTATAATGGCAGTTAATCATAATCCTCAACGTCATACCGAAAATCGCATCTGTTAGCGTGTGTTTGAGCGCTCATCGCCAGTTCGTCTGACCAATACATTAGTCTCATATCCGTCGCTGGCACCTTGATCGAAATTAATTTTTCTTTAATATTTGTTGATATCTTTTATATATTCTATGTATTAGATAATGGGAATTGTATACTTTTATACTCACTTGCGTTCATCATCAAATTTAAAAGCATTATTAAATTTTTCATTTAATATACAGTTTTATGTGCTAATTTTATATTTAAAACTTCATAAATTTTCAACTCTTTTCTTATATACACGCTATATACTTGTCCATTTAGCACATATATAGTCTTACTGTCCTCATTTTTCTCAATCGAGTCAAAACATATTTACAGTTGTTTTAGTGAATAACAAGAGTTTTTCATTTGTACTTGCACAATTATGTTCATTGTTATTTTCTATAGAAAAACTTTAAATCACATTTCATCAAGAAAGCTCTTAATTCCGCTTCTTAAAATTTGAATTTTTTAATTTCAGTGCTTAAAAACTTTAAATTTAAACTTTTGTTCTTCGAAAATAAATCTCCAATATATATTTCCCGAGAAAAGATATTAATCATTTATTTCACAGATTGGAATCAGTTTTGGGGCATATTATTGCATTTAATATAAAACTAATACAATTTGATGAACATACAATTCGCCTAAGTCTATTATGCTCTTCTGTCACCAATTTTTTCTTGTACTCATTGAGAGGCTTGGAATTAATTAGCATATTTGGATACTGACTTGTTGACTTTCTGTATGATGGCGATCGCTTTTTGCGCAAGTACAACTGTCGTCCTAAGCAACACAACGTGAATCAAATGCAAATTACTGTCATTTTGAATTTAAGAAGAAATTAAAATCTTGTTTAATTAATTAGCTTCAAAACTTTGATTAAACTGAAAATTGCAAATTACCATTTCAAAACGGAATAAACTTCGCAAAATTTTACCGATTATATTGTAGTTAGCATTACTAGCGGAAATCACAGCGTCATTTTCAATATTTTTAGCGTTTATTAGAGAAGAATATGATGATAAAATCCAAAATAGTGGAAAACAAGACATGGCTAATAAATTCTGAAACGTAGTCTTCAACTGATTTTGGTAAAAAAGATCTGAAAATTGCTAGCTAAGAACAGAAATGGATCCTCTAATTTACAGTTCTAGAATTTTTGACATAATCAAATCACAATGATATTCTATTCACTTCGTTTTCAAATTGTCCGAAAAATACCAATCTTCTTCCCTTCCTCATAGAAAATTGTCATTTCTTAAAATTTTTGAAAGCAAATCTTTTTGACAGGAATCATTAAATCTACTTATTAATCAATTAACAAATTTCTATCTAATCTGATAGCTTTCTATGATATAGTCAGACACTGTGGTTTAAACTACCAAAAAATGCCGACTAATGTAACTGTTTTTTCTGAAGTTCAAATTTATCATTAAATCTAATTTATTTATTTATGAACTTATCTAGCTAATCGTTAAAACATAAGATTTAAGTAATCGAAAGATAAAGCTATCATTATTACTAGGAACAGACTGCTATCATTGCTGTTATTCATTGGTTTATCACGATTTTATGTTGACACCACAAGTGATTTATGTAAGTCATCTTAACATTTTGACGATACCCGTAACAGTAGGGTGATCATAAAAAATTTATTATTACTTTTCAGCGTCGAATCTTTTTTCTTAGTGAAGTTAAAGTTTCCTGGTTTCACAGAACCAGCTATTTTATTATTTTCTGAAAAGTTTTCAAAGGCAGATTCTGTTAAGAGAATGATTAGAGCCTTATTTTTCAACACCCAAAAATACTTTATGGTAGTAATATGAAAGAACATTCCAGCATTCAAATAGATCAGTTATCTAATGACTGGGACGATCCCTGATGAACATTCCACATCACAAGACTTCCAAGAAGCGAAAAGAAGTAACTGACCGTAACGATACAACCCCTTGTTGCAGTACTTATAAAGCAACGAAGACGAAACAAGGGAAGAAAATGATGAAAAATGATACGCGTGGCACGAATAAAGTGAAAAAAAAGCCCGTTGCAAAACGAGATGAAAACTGAAAAGAAAAAGGTTGTGTGGTTGTACAGTCAGGATATGGAAAGTCTGAGGAAAAGGGAGGATGAGTGGAGAAAAACTGCATCTGGAATCATGGTGGAAAAAGTTAAAAAACAGATGAGGTTGTAAAAAGCTCCGTGAAAGGTGTAAGAGAGCATTCTGCCAGTAACCAGGAACCAGAAGAATAATCATGCTTGAAGTTGTCATTCGAGGAATCGAGGTTCCGCAGAGCAGCTGGCCAAGTAAAGTGCTGAAGGTGGTTCTTTACCGTTTCGAGACGATGCCGAGAGGGGGATGGCCCTTGTATTGTTCCCTGTATTGCGGGAAGTTCATGTGCGCAGTTAGCGTTCAAGAACTGAAGAAACAATGCTGCAATCACCAGTATTGCAAGTTGTGAGAACTTTGTCAAACTGCTCAAGTTTCATTAACCAAGTTACTCTGTTATTAAACTAACAGCCAAAAATAGGTTCCAGAGGTGGTTCTCATTCGACGAATGTGACTTCTCACATGTGTAAATCGCTTTTGAGTAAGTAACTTACAATTTGAGCTTTACTTCAGTTTGAATATTTTATATTAAAATAAAAAATCAACAAGCACAAAGCATCTGTGAGATAGATTCGCAAAAAATTGCCAGATAGTTATTTGAACGCCATCGTGTTCTCTCTTGAATATACTTTTGTAGTTTACTTCTTCTCTATCTTACGCCTGTAAAAACTATCCTGTGCACTGAGAATGTTTATACTTACTTTTTTGTCAGCTTTTTCAAACGCATTTTGATAAGACTATTCAAATTTTTTATGAAAATTATGACTTTTTAAGCATTTGCCAACCTTTTATCGGCTAAATCTACAGTGAATTCTGTTTTCATTTCATTAACAATCATTTACTTTACTGAATTACCTTATGTTTTTAATATTATTTATTAAAGGCCCATGCTTAATTTTATTGTTCAATTTATTCCTGCCAAATGAAGGGACTTCCAAATTTGAAAATTACTTATGAAAATCGAAACAGTGACTTTCAAACGTGTCATTAATAATAAATTAAGGCCAAATATCAATTCTTTGGTATGACATTCAATTAATGGATTGAAATTCTTTTTGCGCCTTATTATTCACTTCCAATTTTTTTAGAAATGAGTATTATTAAGTATTATTCACTTAATAATACTGATTTTTATTCCTAAAAAACTAAAATTAGGTGTATTTCCGTCGAAAGTGACAAGAATTAAGTCCAATTGATCGTACTAATTTTTCGTAACATACAAGAAATGTGGAACTTTTCAATTATTCTACACATAAAGTTTATTTGAAATTGTCCGTTGCTATTAGTGGCAATGACAATATAATTTGAATGCTAGTAATAGAGCAGTTATTCAGCAATGAAATATTTTTCATAGTAATTGTAGCTAATATACAATCATAAAAATATTCGTACAGTGGCAGGATTTAGTGTTTTGTTACTTTAAGAGCTGCCTTGGTAAATGAGTTTGCAATGTAGTGATCAAAAGTGTTTTATTCATGGTCGTTCCATAATAATTCATTTAGCATAATTATCACAATAAATTTTTTATAGGAGGCCTATACCGCACTCGACTATGTTAAAAATAATCTGGATTTGTGAATTTAATTACGACAATATTGACAACAATATAATAAGTGGCATTTATATTATTAATATTGATGATAATAAAAATTAAATAATAATAATAATTATTATTATGGAAAAAGATGGGTTGAATAATTGATTAGTGATGTAAGTACTGACGAGATCATTAGTCAAGCAAAATTTTAAATGAGGTGATCAAGTAAATATGGTTAGCAACATATTTATAATAATATCACTGAAAATTAATTGCGGTCAAATAAAAGAAATAGGATAACAGTCATATTATACTACTCAAATCTATCTATGAAATACCGCGAATTTGGTTGTCGTTGTCTTGTCTCGCGGAATTTAAAATTTCCGCCGCAACTCTTGTCACATGTACCAACATATATACATATGTACATATGTATATATGTATGTATATTGTATATATTTATATATAGAAATGAACAAACCTCATACTATATATAAACAATATAAATAGATAAAACAAGAATAAAAAGGAACTATTTGAGATAAGTAAATGCCCCACCCTTTTCTCGCACAGACACGCCCAGAGCGATATTTCGACATTCCTTTGTACATACTATTCTTGTTTGAAACAAAGACTTATTCAAATTGTTAATTTTGCAAGCAGATCAGTCATCTAATTAATCAATTCAGTTGTAGTCATGCAATCAACATATATATATATATATATATACATTTTGAGGATTTTTTTAGAAAACATTTTTATATTTGCTATTATAAACTCAGAAGCAAACGTTTTATTTTTGACTTTTGATTTTGATGTTTAGTCGTCCAAGTCACTTGCAGACAATAGAATTGTGGCTAAACAGAGAATAACGTGATTTTAGAATTGATGTACTCACTACGAGTAACTTTGTTTCTCAACAATACTTTCTAAATCATTTCTTATTCATCTTATTGCTAATTCCTGTTTTCCCTTTGTTCATTTTTTTTCGAATTCCAAAGAAAAAGAAGCACTAACATAATCTAATGAATCAACTTCATGAAATTAATTTTTTCACTGTTTTCATAATATCTTTAAAGTTTGTTTATTTTTGCGTATTTTGTGCGATTAGTGTGTTTGAGTGTGAGGTGGAAAGCTTTTGTAGATGGAAATTGAAGAACAGATTTAAATTTCTTTTTTAAAGGAGCTGTTAAATGCATGTCAGAGACGGAAAGATTTTTTGTCTCTGTTTGATTGCTCAAAAAATAATTGCATTTTAAGGCATTAAAATTACAGCATAAGTATTTTGTACTGACGAAATACCCTTGTTCTGCCAAGTTCTGTAATCAGTCTTTCAATGACATAAAAAGATGCATAGGTTTATTTTAATTAATGTAACCATTTTAACGACTTTTGATCTCTAAATAATGTTTCATTAAAAACTGTACCAGTTTCTATTTAAGATTGTTTGAATTGATTAATAAAAATTTTTGGTTCAGTCTCACCTATGTACTCACTCTGCATAACATTAATACAAATTAAGTACATGAAAGTTAATAAACTTCATCAAGTTTGAAATGTATAATTAAGTTTAACACCATGTTACTTACATTTTTTTCTATTTTCTTCTGGCAGAGAAGCTAATATGGCTATATATTCTGGTTTCGCTTTTTAGCCTGATACTTAAAGTTATAGTATGATAGAAAGTCTATACTGCTAAGTGAAAAATTCGAACAAGAAGTAATTAGAAGTACCGTAAGCGAAAATTGTCAGGTTAAGTAAAAGTACCATAACGGGCTACTGGGTTTGACAAGATATACCGAAAACATGAAGAAACTCAAATCTTTTTAGTATAAAAAAGTAATTTCCAGACCTTAATTAAAAGAAAGTTATCATTTGACTCAGTGTGAGAATTTTTTGCATCTGCTGTTACTGCATATTGTGGCTGCGGTGTCAAAAATTTTTGGTTGCTGAAAAGAGATGTGTGTAAAACTGATAGCTGTTAAGCATTTTTGGATAAATAACTTGCCCTGAATGTATTTAGTGTAAGCTAGAGTAATGAATTGAAATTCTCGAGTTTTATTGGTTTGTCTGTGAATTTAATATTGTCAGACAGTGAATTGATTGTTAACAGACTTGAAATTATTTAATTTGCTTTGGTGTAGTTTTTTTTAATTTTAATTGATGAGATTATTTGAGGGAAGAAGTATGCCTGGAGAGAAAGAAGTTGTTAGTGTGAGGACAGAACCGTGGACAAAAAGACTGCGACAATCTTTCGCTAATTTGCCATAAATTTATCGCCTCTCACTCTGCTTGCTCTTGATGGCGTGTCTCTTTCACTTTGACCTTTTACAATGTTTTTTGTTTGCGTGCATATGAGACGATGTGACGGCGATGACTACTTTTTCTACTTCGCAAAGCAAAACTGCGCCATCTTGCCTGCCTGATTCTGCCCATCTTAGCTGTGATGTCCGCCAAGCCTGTGCATTCACATTTGTATTTGTTTTAATAGTGTAACTAATTGCAGGGAGTCGATTGATCTGATCTGATCAGTCAGTCATCCGCCAGGCAGTAACCATTTCCGGTGTTTGTTAATGTCTTTCTCTCTATTAATTTAGTTCATTCGATGCTAAAGGTTTCTTTTTTTGTCTTTATATGTGTATTAATGTACGTGAATAAATTCATGATGGAAGAATGTCAAGAATTTCTTTATTTTTCTGCTCATATTTTCGCAGCAACTCTTTTATCATAGCAAATATTCTACAAAACCGCTCAGAGTAAAGTAGTACCTTACATCCTCAGTAACCACTAATATTGCAGGTTGGTTGCTAAGTGTGCCACTGCACCTGAAACATTTGATATAGCTTTTATCTCTGTATACGTGTACAGGAGAAGAATGCCGAAATTTAAAAACCGATATTCCAAGTAATATTGATTTTATAATTTCTGCACTTCATTCAGTTGAGCTGCTGCTGAATGAAAGCTGACACTTTACATATGCTGCACTGCAGAGCGACAGATCTTTACAATATATGATAGCATGAAGTGCAGAAAGTAACTGCATGCCCTTTAGTGCTTCACTCTGAACGGTATTTAAGACGTTAGCTTAAACAAAAATGAACACCTACAATTGCTTTGGTCATATCTTGTATATTGAGCAGAAACATTCACACAACAAATTGGGCCGAAAAAATATGGTTAATTGCAAAAACTAACAAAAGATAGCCAGTGTTGACAGTTGGAACTCTACAAAGTAAATTCTTTCTTTGTAGAGTTCCAACTGAGAAATAGTGGATGAAAATATAAACACCCATTCCTAGTGCTAATTCACATTGCTGAGAAACTGTCAAATCACAAGATTCCTTGAAGTTATGCACACTTATTAACTGATTATAAAAGACCCAAGACAGCATTTTTATACGCATGATAACTAGTTCTTAACTCAATTCTTATAAAACGATGCTCATAATCCTAGGCACATTGCATAATATTTTACATACCATACATAATATACTAATATTTACAAAAGAAGACTGAAGTCCAGCGAAATCAACTGATGCCAATGAAATCGATAAACGTTACTACCATCTATTAACTTAGTTTATTGAATTAACATTTGTCATTTGTGAGTTGGCACAAAAACAGCTTAGAACTTTTATTTTAAACTTATAAAGCAGTCAACAATACTCAGTCTTCTTGTCTCTGGAAAAAGAAACCTGAGTGAAACAAATGGACCTGACAGATATCCCAAAAAGTTTGTCAAACTTCATCAGTTGAAGTAACTCTGTTCAAAGCGAGTTGAATTTCAAAATTTCCACTTCATAATCGAAAGTACAAATCAATTACAAGCTCAAACAATATAACTTTGCTGATGAGCTAAATAAAATATACTAAAACACGAAAAAAAAACTCGGGAAGTATGCGCATCTCCATTCGCTACATGATTTAAAAAATTAGAGTAATGCTATCTTTCAACAACTTCAAAACCAATTCTGTCAATTGCTTTACGTAAATGATTTTTATAAGTGAAAATATCGCCATCCCATTTTGTTACTGTTTGCTTGTCACATACCCATATTTCTTCGGCTACCTAAAAAAATATGAGTAGAAAGTTTTCGCAAAAGAATTTATTTGACATGAGTAAAAAGTTGCGAACGTTATGGACAGAGTGTAGTGACATACAAAAAAAGAAACTAATATTGAACCTAGGTAAAAGTCAGTGACGAGCTTAGATAATAGTCTAATTGATTGTATAATCAATATGAAAAAAATAAGCACAAGACTTACTTGATGAACCAAACGGAAGTCATGAGAAACAAGAACCATTCCTCCCTTGAAACAGTTTATCGCTTCAGCTAAAGCGTCAATACTTTCTAGATCTAAATGATTGGTAGGCTCATCAAGCAGCAACAAATGAGGTTGTTGCCAAGCCAACCAAGCAAAGGATACTCGACAGCGTTGTCCATCAGACAATTGCTTCATAGGACAAATCTTAAATAATTATAATATGCAATACTTGAATTAAGATAAAAGTAGCATACTAAACAAACTATGCATAACATCGACACCTAATTACTCATACTAAAATGTCTTTCTAAAGCGTACTTGCTCTCTTCCAGTTAATCCATAACGCCCTATGATTTTCCTCATTTCTTCTTTTTCTTTGACATCAGGAAAAGATGTCATCATAAATTCTAATGCCGTTTTTTCTAGTGGCAACTCTTCATGCAGATGCTGCAATAGAAAAAAAATTTAGTCACGAATCAAATAACTAATAATAAACATAATCATCATACTGAACAAGCAATTAGTGATATTGAAAGGAAAACATAGAAACAAAACATCAACATTATATTTTCAACAAGTAGAGTTCAGAAATTTCCTAATTTCAAAATAGCCCACCTGATGATACCGTCCAATTTTGCAATGAGAATGACGCCTTACAAGGCCATTTGATGGCATTACATTTCCTGAAATCAGTTTCAGCAATGTCGATTTCCCTGCTCCGTTTGGTCCGACCAACGCGATACGAGTATCAAGATCTATTCCAAAATCAAGATCTTTGTAGATCAATGGCTAAACATATGCGTTGAATTATCTTCATCTCTTAATTAAGTCCTCCAGAAGAAGGACATAATCTAAGGTCAATACACAGCTAAAAGAATCAAAAAAGCTGCCGCTATAAAAAGTCCGAAATTTGCTACTTTCCATTTGTTTTTTCCTCTGTTTTCAACCCAATAATCAGCCCTTATCATCAAATAACCTTTATTTATTTATGGCTGTAATGTTGAAAACACTTACTCCTTTATCATCATATTGAAACGACACACGTTGTACCATTATGACTGGAGGCGGAATTGTGCCAGGATCAAAAAAATAAAACTGCTTCACCTATATATGATGATAATAATAATTAAATGTATCATTACATAATTTTTGTTGATGGAAGTCAAATTTGTTAGAAACCACGAAACCAACCTTTTCAGTAACGATTCTTTCCGTTAATCCAGCAGCTACCATCTTCGCCATTGTCTTTTCTTTACTCTGAGCTTGACGAGCAAGTTTAGCACTACCGTGTCCAAATCTAGCTATATAATCCTACAATAATTTTGAGACGAAACCTTGTCTAATATGCTTTGTCAACAGGCTTACATTTTAATTTACAAATGAACTGAACAAACTCGCCTTCATATGCTGCAGTTGATCTTGCTCCCATTTGTAACGTTTCATTTGGTTTTCAAGCAATTCAGCTCTTGTTTGAATATATGTATCATAATTTCCCTAAACATATTTCGTAATTTGCTGTCTACAATCTTAAAAATTACAAGACACTAATAAACTGTTTGTTAAAGTTAATATAATCTCATCTGAAGGCGAAAAATCACAGCGATTATTGCATATCTGAAAACACGTGGGAAATATGAGCACTGAGTTGTCACGCGTTTCTTATGTATTTTAACTTCTACCTTAGCACATTTAGTAGGATAACAAACCATACCAATTATTTAGATGAATCCATATATGCAAATATCTTTAAAATAAACTACAATTTTGCTAAAGAGATTAACAAATTTGATACCTTGCTAAGAAAGAAATAGAAAAGCAAGATACAAATACAAAATTAAGCTTACTTTATAATAGTCCAATTTTTTCTGGAATAAATGAATAATATTAGTGCATACACCATTCATGAAATCTTGAGAATGGGAGACAATCAACAAAGTTCTTTTGTATCTTAAATAACGAAAATTTATTGCTGCAATTAAAAAGATTTTGGAAAGCAACTGTGATATAAAAATTTTTTGCATTCTGGAACTTTTCATGTTAGAAAACCTTTAGTTTGTTTGGGGCGTAGATTTTATGAAAAATAAGCGCGAGAATGCGAATATTTTAAAAAACTTTCAATATCTATCCGAAACACCAGGCTGGAATTATTTACAAATTCATAAACAAATTAATATACGTTGCAAGTTCTCTTTCAAGCCATACACAAGCTTCCAAATCAAGATGATTAGTAGGCTCGTCCAACAATAAAAGTGACGGTTTTAAATATAATGCACGAGCTAACGCAATACGCATTCTCCAACCACCTGAATAGCATATTTTAATTTCCTTTCCTTTCAAAAAACCAATTTATGACTGAAAAATGAAAGTTCTACGACATCAAGCATACTGGTAAAAATCACCTGAAAAATCTTTGCATTTCTTGAGCATCATTTGTCTAGTAAAACCAAGTCCATGCAATATTTCAGCAGCTCTCACTTCTGCTTTATCGGCATCCATTTCATCCAAGCGATCGTAGATATCTAACAGCTTCTCCTGACTTTCTGAAGAAAAATAAAAAGAATGCACGAAAATTTTCTGAAAATAAAAAATAATATTAACAAACCATCATCAGACGAAGCTGCCAATTCTTCTGCCTGTCTTTCTAGTGTTTTTCTTTCCTCATCAACATCGCATACTATCTATAAATCAATTTCTACAATGACTTGTTTAGTCATCAAACTATACAATCCACATATTGTATGAAATATACTTTCAAGGCACTATCATTGCAAGCAGCCATTTCACGGGATACCAAAAACATATCCATATGATTTGGTATCGGCATTTCTCGGCGAAAAATTGCTTGCATTAAAGTAGACTTCCCTGAAATATTTTGTCAGCGTATTTATATAGAATGCAGAAATTATTTGGAAACAAAGTCACTACTAACCGCTTCCATTCAAGCCAATCAACCCATAACGACGTCCCATATTCAATTCAAGTTTTGTATCAGTAACGATCTCGCGCCCATGAAACGTTACGGTCAGGCTTTCTATTTTTATATCCATTGATCTGCATATGAAAAAATTTTTAAAATACAAAAATTATTGCAATCTATGCATAATTTGATCTTCAGATAGCAATTGTAGCAGAGTGAACAATAAATCTGATGCCCAATACTGTGAATAATTTTAATTGAAGTAAGAAACTTCAAGAGCTCGTGCTGAACCTATTTCATAGCAGTAACAGTAATTTCAGAAACCATTCAAAATTCAGTTTCTGTCACAAATGGAAGAAGCTTCGAGAACAAAATTACAATGGATGGGAGGTTAGTGCTCCAGAAACTGATCTCGCCTTCGCGTTTTCCAATTCCATTTCTTCAAGCATGGCAGCAGCAATATCTACGACATCATTCACAGATGCAACTGAAACGTAAACAGGCTATTTAATCCAGAAAAACAGTATTCATCATGAATCACAACAGAAATATATGGTGAGAAGTTCAATAAATTAACTTTAAAAAAATCAGTACCAGCTTGTCTATTTTCGTTTTGATCAGATGCAGGTGTTCCAGTATTTCGATCAATTTTTTTTTCCTATAAGTTCCAGATCATATATTACAAAATGATCACATAGATCTATGAAAGATATTTGCGCATCATTATGCTCATCAAAATTTTATCTAAAAATAAAAAGTAAGTAACATTTATAGACATTTACTTCTGCGAAAATTCTTCTCAAAGAACAAAAAAATTCTAAGCTTTATGTATAAAAATTTTTCAATTTTTTTCCTTTTCTATATGATTTTACAATATAAAAAACAGATAATTTTATAACACATTACTCAGTGAAAATATGTCATAATACATTTTATACCGATAACAGGGTACTATTTCTAAAACTAACTTGCTTAAAAAACAAATGATGAACTCTACACAAACTTTTCAATGTTTAGAAAAAGTTTAGATTAACTACTTTTAGGTCTTGAACTTTTGTACGACTCTTTGCAGCTTGCTTTTTCGCTGCATCGCGACGCTTTCTAGCATCTGAAGGCATCGTTGAAAAGATTAGCTGAAGCCCAAGTCTCCAAACCTGAAATATGATGCTGCTAACATATAATAATATTAGAACATATTTATTAAAAACAAACCAAACTTCACAATTTTGAAATACAAATTATCCTAATGGATGATCCTATGCAAGTATATATGATAATGTTATAAATAATAATGACAACAAATGTTTAATAAAATCGTAAACCACGAGCTATTGTATCAAGCAGATTCTGAAGACGTGAATTATACTTTATTTCTCTAAATTTCATGCACTGATAACTAATTCAGAAATTTGAAAATCAGTGGAACAAAAACTAAAAACAAAAAAACTGCAATCATATGAACACAAACAACCAATCAATCAACACTGCCCCTACGTAAGGAATACAAACGGCTCAATAACAACACACTGTTATGCAAAAAAGGATGAGAAAGAAAACTTCTTGTTGCTAACACACTCGGCATCACTATTTAAATTAATTTAGTGATTTAGTCATAAGAGTACTGTAATACAACAACTGAAACTTGCGAGAGTAGAGAAATATTCGCAGCTATCTGATAAATTAGACTTCCATTTATTGCAAGATATCATAGCAACAAACAATGCACAGTCAACTTTCAGTGCTTCCTGAGGAGTCTGTCTTTTCTGTCAAGAATACGAAACTAAAAACAGCATGCGATGCGCTGAAAATGTGCTTTCTCGTACTTGTTTCTAAACTTCTTTCATCAAAGTTTCAATATCTTCATCTTACTGTTATTATTGGTTACTATTAGGTACTCAATTTTAAACCGAATGAAGAGAAGTTGGATACAAAACGAGATGCGACCTGTGAAACAATAAGAACATTTGTGACATCCCTCTGCACATCAGGACAATAGTCTACGACATTATACTGCGACCTCTGAACGCATCAAAATAAGCTTAAGTATGTGGCTTCAAGAAAGACAATATACATGCCACGAAGCCTTCTGGCAGTAATCCAATATTTCAATTGGTCATCTGATAATGTAGTTCCCTAAAACACGTTTGCTTCATCTGGGACCCTGAGTGCTATTTTATCGTCTCTTTAATTGTTTTTCGCTTTTAGTACTTAGTCTAGTATCGGTTACGAAAAACTTATTCTACCTACTTTCTTGTACATGTATTCCTTGTTGACGTTTATCGAGTTTAAAATGGACATTAAGAGTAAGACACTAGATGGTGCATAAAACTTTTCAAGTGTTTATTAGGTTGCTTTGATGGAAGATGAAGATGGGGCAAACTGAGATTCGTAAAGAGCTGCGTGATAATTGACTTGTAGTATGTAACAAAAAATGCGTAAACAAGGCGCGCAGGTGTTTTAACAAAGTTGTTATGTATATTTGTTATTAACGTGGTAAGGAAGTAATAGAAGTCAATGAGTGAGGCAGTTTTTTAAATGTAAAAGCCAGTGCACTTAATAGATATTTCTCAGTACAAACGGCAAATGCTATGCTAGAATTCATTTGAATCTGCGGAGTGAATAAGTCTGAGTGGACCCAGCAAAATTAAATCGGGAACGAGAGATTTGTATTGCTTGAATTACTCGTATTTCTCATATCTTTGTCTGCAATTTTTGTGTTACAAAAAATGCTCTAATTCGGTCTGTGTCATTTTTGGTAGTTATTTTTGACTTCCTTTTACATGTTTTCACTGTTTACTTGAAACCATGTTTAGTAATTTACAACAAAGATGCCCTACTACCGATTAATAGTGTAGTAGATACTTTTATATACGACTGCTATGATCAGAGGAGTGAATGAGTTCTGCATTTTTAATTTAAATGTTTTGAAAATTTTTTGCTTTTCAGTTTCTCACTCCAAATTTTCAATGTCGTCTGCAGCAGCCGTTGGCAAGTCGCAACCTATAGACAAGAAAACTTTTGATGTTAAAAAATTTTTGATCGATTTGGCTTCCGGTGGTACAGCAGCTGCTGTTTCCAAAACTGCTGTTGCACCTATTGAGCGTGTCAAGTTACTTCTCCAGGTTATTATTTTTATTTAACGTCGATAGAGAAGTTCTAGAGAAAAAATCGATTGATAGTGCCAGTCATGATCCTAAGTTCTAAATCCTAATATGTCGGTGTTTGATAAACTCTCATGTTCATCGTGCACAATATCTCATGAATTGTGACATATTTAATGGATAATTTTCAAGGTACAACATGCATCTAAAACAATAGATGTTGATAAGCGCTACAAGGGTATAATTGATGTATTCAAACGTGTGCCGAAAGAACAGGGATTTGCATCATTTTGGCGTGGCAACTTGGCAAATGTTATTCGGTACTTTCCAACGCAAGCATTGAATTTTGCATTCAAAGATACGTACAAAAAAATGTTTGTTGCCGGATACAATAAAGATAAGGTGGAGACGATAAAAATTTATACAGAATGCGATGTACGAATAGCGTTAGTAAATAGTAAATGTCGTTTCTCTTGTCATGACTAGTCATTTTTTGCAGGATTTTTGGAAGTTTTTTGGAGGTAATTTACTAAGTGGAGGAGCTGCGGGTGCTACATCTTTATGTTTCGTATATCCACTTGATTTCGCTCGTACTCGTTTAGCAGTTGATGTAGGCAAAGGTGCGACTCGCGAATTTACTGGTTTAGTAGATTGTTTAGCTAAAGTCCTGAAAAGTGATGGTCCAGTTGGTTTGTATCGTGGTTTCATGGTCTCAGTACAAGGAATTATTGTTTATCGGGCGGCTTACTTTGGTCTTTTTGATACAATCAAAATGATGGTATCTACAGAAAAGAAAAAGCTGAACTTTTTTGTTGCTTGGATGATTGCTCAGGTTCACATCACATATTTGTATTCGTTTCCACTCAAAATCTGACGCTCTATACTAGATTATCATATTTTTTTATGTGTATCACAGTATTAATGTACGATTTCAGTCAGTAATGCAATATAAAAATTACCATTTTCAGTTTAGGATGAGACAAAAATTTATAGCACTACTTGCGGTCGTTTCAGGTTGTGACAGTCGGTTCGGGGATCCTATCATACCCATGGGATACTGTGCGTCGTCGAATGATGATGCAGTCTGGCCGTAAGGAATTACTTTACGTGAACACATGGGATTGCGCCAAAAAAATTGTCGCCAACGAAGGAACAGCGGCACTTTACAAAGGTGCTCTTTCCAATGTATTCCGTGGCACAGGTGGCGCATTGGTATTAGCAATTTATGATGAAATCCACAAATTCCTATAGCATAATGCTGTGTTGACGCGCCCAGTGAAGCCATATTACTTTGAACATCTTTCGGACACTTCATTCTTACTTCGACTCGATATAATGTTTACTTATCAAAAAACACAGCATAGTAATTGCACATAGTGCGCACATCCTTCTCAGTTAATCACACTTTATATCGATACCTCAGTCTATTATTGATTTCGATCAAAATATGATATGCCTTGTCACTCGCTGTTTCGTAATCTTGTGGTTTTATGAAATGCATGGCACTGAGACTTTACTTCTTTGCATGTTGTTAGGTTAATAAATTGAAAATTCAGATCTTTTATAGATTTATTCTACACAGTGGTGCATAAAGATTATTTAAGAACAACCAGTTTGTGATGCATTGTTTGGTTAAGTAACACAGGCTGTGTCAAAATAGATTGTGCATAGGTGGAAAGTATCTTGACTGAACCAGATTCTGCTTTCATTTCTTTGACAAGCAAAAATGTATTCGATTGAAATTAAAGGAGCTGGGACTAAGTGCATAATTGTTATCAGCACCACATATTTTGCAAGTAAAAGCCTAGGTTTCTTTTATTTCCGAAAACGAAAATAATATAACTGGAAACGAAATTAGGCAAGCAACTAAGTCAGTTGTGTGTGATGTGTTCCTTTATTACAAAACAGTGTAGGAAGCAGTTTCTTATGTGCGGCCGACGTTGTATGATCTATTGCTTGGAACGTGGAAAGCCCGAAGTAACAAGGGAACTTTTTTTTTTCACAAAATGGAAAGATGAGATTGCTACGGCTAGACAGTTTTATCTTTATGTCCATTCTGTGTTATTCTATCATGTCGTTAAAGTATGCATGATGTAGCGCAACATCTGCATCAATTCGGCAAGCTGGATTGCAGACTAAAAGCTTCTGAAATAAGTAGAGAAGAATATTGTTTTCCTCTTAACTAGACATAACGTAACATGCAACACGACAAAGAACTCCTACTTCATAATAATTTTCTCTTGAGGAATCACAACTGCATTGATTCCAGAAATAAGTTATGGTTCTTCGATAAGAGAACACCAGTGACGTAAAGAGTTTTCACATGACTTAAAACCCTGCATTCTCTTCTGAAAAAAATCACCTAGGACACTAGAAAACCGTTTTAATTCACCTGAAGCAAATCATGTCCACGTGTTGAAAGATTTGGTACCACTTGTCCCAAAGTGATGGAAGGATGATAGAGAGGAACTGGCTTAAAAAAAGTAGTAGTAGATTTTAAATGCCTGACTTTAAAAAGAAAATTAAAATACTATCAATCAAATAAATTTTGCAAAAGAATTCACAGCAAATTGAAAACATGTATAATATAAGACCTGAAATGAAAGAATAGCTTTGATTACCTTATAGTCTGGAAGTGACGAAATACACGGCCATGTATCGTCTGTAGGAGTACCGAGAATCTTAAAAATCCTCTTCAACTGATCATCAATATCAGCACCTGGGAAAAGTGGTCTTCCAGCATTTGCTATTTCTGAAAATTTCTAGTCGTGAAATATCACAATCAATGGAAAGTATTCAAATAATACTCAGCCAACGTGATAAGGTACCAGCAAAAATGCATCCAGCAGACCACATATCAATTGAGGTGTTATAAAGCTTGGCACCAAAGAGAACATCAGGTGGTCGGTACCACAATGTGACAACCTTAAGATGAGATCATGAAAATATAGCTTGAAACGTTGCTATGCTTCTCTAAAACAAACAATATTTATAGCAAATTAGGAAATATAAATCACAAACCTCAGCACTATAACACCTGACAGGTATACCGAAAGCACGAGCTAATCCGAAATCAGCTAGTTTTAATTGCATGTTACTATCTATCAATAAATTTTGAGGTTTCAGATCACGATGTAAAACGTTGTGTGAGTGGCAAAATGAAAGTCCACGTAACAATTGATACATGAGAGATTTCACTATCTAAATTTAAAAGGTACAAAATTTCGATTCATGTCAAATATTCGTTTTTACCGTAACGGATAAAAACAAATTAGTATGAGCTACTTTAGACATACTACAGAAATTCTGTATTTCTGGAATAAATATGCAAAAAAAATTACTTGAGGATCGATTTCGCCATTGCATGAATCAAAATATTTTTTCAAATCTTGGTCACAATATTCAAAAACTAATGTGAGTTTACGTTCACTATGGATCACATCATATAATCGTACGATATTTTCATGCTTAAGCTCTTTTAACAAACATATTTCACGGAGTGCGGAACTTGGAACACCCTGAAAATCCAAAACAATGTGATAAACGTAGTTTTACAATAATAAAATAACAAATGTAACTACAAGTACGAATACTAATTGACTGCCACTTAGATATCAATTAGAACCTTAATAATCGGTGCAAATTTTTAATTTCAATAATGAACTAGACGAAATGCTTTACAAAATACTAATGGTACTAGTTTTAAAACCTTTCCGTACCGCTAATATAAATTCTTTAATTTATGAAACATGAGTTATGATTATTTACTGAATATGGGAAGTATCAAAATTTTTATGGACAACAATTCTTAGTAAATTATTATTCAAAGATAGAAATTTATTAGTATATTTTAATACCGTAGTATTTGATTAGACAGTACATTATTAATGCAAAAAAAGTAAACCTCATCGTCATCATCCAAACGAACACATTTCAAAGCTACGATTTCTTGAGTATCATTGTTTTTGGCCTTGAAAACAATGCCATAGGTTCCTGAATCAAGTCAATGAATATGGAAACGACAAATTCCAACAGTGTTAAGTCAATCAAGGAAAGCAAAACTAATGTCCATGCCTTCAAACTACTGGATTCAAAATACTGCAAAGTATCTGCATAAAATACCAGTATAATAACATATCAATGAAACCAGAAAGCAAACAGATGAGACAAACAAACCTTCCCCAATTTTTTCTAACTTCTCGTAATTTTGCATTTTACATGAGTAAGTTGATTCCTCTCTTGTTTATAACAATACGCATTAACACCTTTACACGAAGATAATTTACATCATTCTTTAATTAGCACTGAATGAAAAGTACGGAGATACTCGACTCCAACTACAACATAAATGAAGTATTGCAAAAATGAATAGTGATCACCATCGAAAGTGTTTTCATATCGACACCATCGCCTGTGTGATAATTGCGACTGCGAACATCCTATCTTTACTCTCTCATGAATTGCTAATTGAACGTCTTAATTCGTTTCATTCGCTGGTCTGACGTGATTGCTACTGTGCATGTGATTTCTGAGGCTTCTTGTGCTGAATAAAGGCATTTCATGCTCATTTTATTTATAATTTCTGCAGTATTTTTGGTTTACAATTTTGTAATACACCTCTTTGAATACTTGAGATAATTTACAAACTTCATATTCTAGTAGAACATGCAAAAATACATACCCTAATCAATTTTACATAAGAACCGAATCTTTTAAAGTTCAGCGAGACACCAAATTATATACGCCTTCGCCCATTTTAAATAGTTCGGATAGACAAATGGCGTGAAAATCTCATTCCATTTACACAAATTTATGTGACATCTCTACAGATATTGCATGTGATCTAGACGAATTGCTTGCAGTTCCGATGTGTCTGGTTGAAAATTCCCCAAATTATCTGGGTCCGCATAATGCTGGTGATGGCTTCGATGGCGACATAAGCATGTTCGTCGATCCAGCTCACTTCTACCATAACATTTCTTTTTGACACAGTTGCAGGTACACGTGTTGTCATTCCATATCTTATGTGGACCTCAATCGTAATGTCGAACATTAGATTTTTCCGGATGGTAACTGTTTGTAGATTGAAAAGTAGTGACTTATGCATTTTCTTTCAGTGTTAGCCATAGTCGGAGAAGTGAGAATTTAATGATTGCTCAATTGTTGACATTTTAATTCGATAATGATCTCGAAAAAAGATGCAGAAGACTCAAAAAAATGCATGTGTCACTAATTTATTATGCCACTTTTTATGCGGTATAAATTCACTGTATTTGACTTGTTTATGCTTTTAGTCAAAAGTAGTTCTAAAAATGATAGGAACAACTTAATTTTTGATTGTTAATAGAAGCAAAACTAATTTACTGATATCATTCGATATAATAAAGCTACTTTTATATCATTTAAATGAATGCAGGCTAGAACTATTAAAGTATAAAACTTTCAAATTTTTCTCTGTAATTAAATTAACCAAAATACCTTGACATTCACGCTTATCTTGTTTATTTGCACATTGACAGCTGCAGTCAGAATCGATAATTTTCTTCTGGGAACATCTAATCGCGTTACCCCGTTGTGTGGTGCACATTTGACAGCTACAACCAGTATGTTGTTCAATCGTTATGTTTCGGGTTTGGTTGATTACGAAGAGATTATTGCCAGAATAGAGCATTTCGATGATCTGTGTTTCTCATTCGTTATCCGTATAAATAAGTTTTATATTATTTTACATTCCGGTTTGAGTTATTCTAAATAGCTATGATGTAAAATAATGTATAGGGTACCGATATTTCTTCAGCACCACTAACAAATGAAATTTTTGCACTTGAGTGCGAAAAGATTCAGAATTGAGAATGAGTAAATAGTTAGAACTGAGAATTAGTAAAGTGTATATGTTACTGGTCTTTCGATGTATTCACTACTAGTTGGGTGACAGCGTTCAGCAGATTCACAACAGGACCCAACGCATTGCGTTACTTCGTAACATCTGGGAAATACCAATACAGCAGGGTCGAGATTTTCATTTTGGATTGAGATGCAAGCACTTTGCAATCCGCACATGTCTTTGCCTTGGCGAATTGTACTCAGTATATCCAAATTTTTTTTCGTCTCGGCTAAATGAAGACATGATTTTATGAGGGTGTGTTTTTTTATTTTCAGAGCTATCTGCAGTGGATAACTCTGCATAAAAATGCTCTTTCCTGTTAGGAATTGCGAAGAACTAGTGTGAAATACAGTTAAAACACAGGCATTAGCAACAAAACAATAGCAAAAGAAATTAACACGAAGAAAGAACCACAACCAAATTGATAGACTCAGTTTCTTGCATCATGAAGTAACTTTAACTTTCACCTTAATTGTTCAAATGAGAAACTTTTCTCTTCATTTCTGACTTTATTCAAAATTATTGACTGACGAACGTCGATGTAAAGTGTTTTATTTATTTTTTAAGGAACGACTTATAATTGGTTATTAATATAAATCACGATTTGATTTTAGAGTCTCGAGATAGTTCCATAAATTCATAGAAGAAGAAGTAATTTGTTGCAAAAGAAATGATCTTTGTGTAGTACTGTCGATCTTGTTATGGCTGAGTTGAGTTCCGGAGACTGATACGTTACTACTTCATTAGAAGAATAAAATTACTTGCGAAATTAAGAACTATTGTGGAAGTTCTTACTATTCAATATTTAAGCCAAAAAAGGTCATCAGAGATCTAAAATGAAGTTATTTTTCCTACATACAGTATTGTAATGTCAGTAGAAATCTGAATTTTATATTTCTCTTTGGACTAGTCTATTCTGTTGGTGCATGTATCTTTGTTAAACAATCGTGTATATTGTTTATTTTTCACTTTCTAATATTTAGCGTCGTATTTATATTCAGTATCATGCACAGCAATATTTATAGTCATTAATAATATAAAAAAGTCTTTTCATGAGGTTTCCAGTTCTATTATCCAAAATTATCTTTCTGTCAGAAATTTTGCCACGCTTTTGTTATTTAACTCCAGTAACGGAATAATTAGTATCTTTTTTCGAGTGTTAAAAAAAATAAAAATTCTAAAAGATTTTTCGTGTTCATCAGGATTAATTACTAATACATGATAGATTTTCATCATTATTGCTCTTTCAAAATGAGCAGTTACTTGCAACTATATAACTAAAAATGGCAATAATTATTCGTTATTAATGACTTATTAATTTCATTGCAGTTATTGTCAGCTGTTTGTTTTCAAAATCAAATGAATTAAGTTTTGATTTGTTAATTTTGCTGTGTTGGTTAGTCCAACATCAAGCAAGAACAAAGAAGAAACTTTTTATTCTTGACATGAAACTAAATTCTTTAAAACCGATATATTCAACAGCAACTTATTGTTTAAAAATCTAATTTAGGATAATAAAAGAAAAATTGAAAATAAAGTACCGTCAGCATCCAGATTCATTTCAGGCTCTGCTTGAGATGAAAAAGTTATAGATGCCGCTTTTAACTTCATGTTTCCGTTTTGTTCTGATTTACGTTTTATCTGAGCTAGTTGTAATCCGTGCTGATCATTTGAGCTCAACGCCTTATTATTATTTTTCAGTAAATGGTTCGCGTAAGTAAGTTTTGTTACTGAAAGCAAATCGGCAAATGTATGTGCTTGACGTATCTGTTCACGTAGATAACTTGGAACAAACTGTTGTTCCGAAGAGATTACGTTGATAAATGACGACAAAATTAGAAAAAATACTGCCGTGGTCGTTAGATTCATAATCTGCAACAGGTCTCAATTACATTTTTTTAATTTAAATCTTTTTGATTTCATAATTAAACTAAGAATTACTGCTTCTTTATTTGCGACAAACGGCACTTTCTATTTCTCGAACAATTGCTATATATTGCTATCATTATATTTCCATTTGGTCGAATATATATTTAGTAAATAGTAAGTGTTCACCCAAGTTAACGTCATAATCATCGTCATGGAGGAGTACTGTATTAGTCTCTACTTATTTATATACGTTCATAACAATATCAATAATATTTTGATTCTCAATTTTCTTTAAATAAAGTTAATATACAGTCATTTAGACTCTTGCATAAAAATTGACCAATCGGGTGAAATAACATTCGATAAGTGAAACTTTTGGTTTACGTAACGAAGGAAAGTTGAAATGGAAAACAGAAAGTTGGATGGAAGAAAATTGATAAAAAAGTCAAAGTTTGCTGGATTTTTTACGAACGAAAATTAGGATAATAAATAAAAGTTTAGAAACAACTGTTTTTAAATGTCTTTTAATTAATTAGTTCAGTAGTGTATTTACATAGGTATCCTTCTCAGAAATTTTTATTAGGCACAATGATTTCTGCATACTGCTTACTGATCTCCATCGATCGAATCCGCAACAGAAATTCTATGTTTAAGTAATACATTAGTTTGTCATATCACTTTTGTCAGACTTCTTACAACAGACATGTTTTGAAGGATAGAGCGCAGGGAGTATCAAAGAGGCTACTGTACAATAATAATCGTGTCAGCTCACAGAATCTTGTTAATTAATCGCAATGATTATTAAATGTTTGATAATTGTACTTGATAAGTTGTTGCTTTTTTGATATTCATGTACTTTATGAATATAAATAAAATTGTATATCTAGATTAGTCTTTTTCGCTTTATTGGTTCTGGCGTTGGATCGGATTGGTACTCTGGCTGCGCTCAGATTTGTTGTGCTCATCGTTCTCGCTTCGTCATCGTGGAATCCATATTGACTGTCGAAGGAGATGCTTTCGAACGTCTTTTCAAGAACTATCGAGTCGATGTATGCCTCGACGTAGTTGTATAAATTAATCTCTTTTGCACTGCGTTTGTGGAAGTTCGTTACAATCCCATCCAAAGTCATCACATTCGGGATTATTTTGGTCCTGCATTTCATCTCTGATCCAAGTTTATTAGCAAGTATGTCAGATTTCTGCTTTTTCTCGATGTCGACTGCAGTCAACCTGTCTTGAATAGTGATGTCAACCTCAATCAGGATTACTTCACGTTGCTCCTTATCGTTTATCATGATATTCGGCCGACGCGCTTTTATTCTGATTGCAGTTCTCACTCCCGTATCGACTCTGATCTCTACACTTTCATTTGCGATATCTCCTGAACGAAATAGCTTCGCATGCGCGGGAATGCTTTCAGACCATACTTCTTGCAAAGTACCAAGTTGATGCATCGTAGGAACTCATTGTGTCTTTTATTATGGTCATGATGTAACATTTTTTCGCACTGCGTTGCTAGATCGTCCACCGTCTTCACACGTTCCGCACAATGTTGGCACATACCTTTCTCAGCTCCAAACATATTTCTATCCGTATCGCAGGCATTTTGATGAATAAACGATGGACGAGGTTTTATTGTCCGCATCTTGTTTAGCTTTGTACGGTGGGTTTTCTTTTCTATTTCGCTATACAAGAATGCCTTCTGGGTTGTTAATCCGTTTCCAACGGTAGGATTTTCTGCGAGGTTGTGCTTAGTCTTTAGATAGAGTACAATAATTGCAAAGTACATGTTATGAGCTTTCTCCTGCTTCAGAATCGCTGCCTATATTTCTTCTGATACAGATTGGTGCGGTATG